CATAACACGTACAGGGTGAATTCAAAGGCTGCCTGGAAGCTGTTGTGCCAGAACATTCCTCGTACTCTTCCTTCTGTTCTCCTGTCCTATTCCTCTTGTTTTGAGGGTAGTAGCTGATTTGTTTTTAACCCTCAAACAAATTATTCTTTGCATAGATTTACTCAGTGTCTTGCTGGGTTAGTAGTGCATGACTATAATCCCAGCACTTAGGAGGCTGAGGCAGGAGGATTGCTGAGAATTCAAGGCCAGCCTGGGGTACATAGGGAGTTTAAGGCCAGCCTGAATTACATGTTGAGACCCTTTCTATAAACAAATAGATGGATTGAGTTCCCTGCCTCAAGAGAATTTGGGTCCTGTAGATATACATCAACACAAATAAATAAAGCTTCTTATAGTTTTTGTTTGTTTTTGTTTTTGGTCTTCTGGGGACTTTTCATTTGGTGGATTCTTATGGACAAACCTCTGGAAGCCAGAATATGATGTGCCTTCCTACTTAAGAGGGACATCTAGTGAGAGAAGAATCTTGCATACTACACTAAAGGAAGCCACCCACCTAGCTCCATCTCATTTTTAAATGCATACAGACAGCAAGGATCTCCAGGTGAAGGAAAAAGCCCAAGAGCGTGAAAGAGAACATTTAATCCAAAATTTCTTTAGAAAGAGTAACTGCAGAGAAACGGAGAATTCAGAAGATAGAACAACACTTTAGAAAATGACCACTGACAGCTTCCAGGAGACATTTGACTTTGGAACTAGAATCTGTCATACTTCCCACCACTCTTCTAATCAAATCACCAGCTCCAGATAGAAGTGAGTGAGGAGGAAAAAAAATATAGATGCATAGCTGAGTCATAATAGATGGGATCAGGATGAAGAAATACCAGTGCCTTGACTCATTGCTGTTTCCTGGGAATTCAGTGCAGGCATGTGAGACATAAGATGTGATACTGGCTCTGCTAACTTGAGAGAAAAGAGTGAGTAAATCTGGGTGATCCCAAGTGGCCACAGGCAGCCAGGATGGGTTTGTTTGTAGCAACAAGATTCAGGAGCCACACAACTAGGGGCAAAAGGACACATGTGGCTTCCACATGCTCAGAACTACCAGAGCTCTTTCTTGACATAGTATCCTTCCTCCTGGTTCAGCATCTCATCTATCTGGAGTGGAAACCAGGTTAGACCAAATTAGGTACAGGTACCTAAAGCAACATGTTGAGATTACAGAAGGAGACTTAGCGAGATGAAGGGCAATGGGATGAACCTGGACAACTGGAATGGCCAATGCAGTTTATAGGGGCATCAGCTCTCCAGCTTACAAACTTAGAGGTGGGGGGCCAGGGATTTAGTTCAGCGGTTCAGTGGCCTACCTTGCAAATGCGAGGACTCAAGTTCAATCCCCGATACCAAAAAAAAAAAAAAAAAAAAAAAACTTAGAGGTGAAAAAACCAAATGAAAAATCACCACCAAACTTAACAGCATTATAGGCAGAACAAGTCATTCTGTTTTGGGGAAAATTTGGGCATGAAATCATTTCTCAAAAATAAATAAAAAGAAAGAAGTAAAAGTAAAATGTTGCCAAAATAAAGAGGAAGGGGAGACAGGTTGTTTTTTTTTTTTTTTAACTTTTTGGAATCTGTTTTTAATGATGTACTTATAGATTGATTCACAGAACAAAATAATGCAGAGAGCTATCAGTGCTCATCGCACAGCTACCCCCAAGAGGACCAGGAAGTTGACATTGGGACAGTTGACAGAGCTCATTCAGAGTCCGTCATTTCACAGGCACTCATTTGATATATGTGTGTAGTTCCATACAATTTTATTGCATAGATTCATCTCATCACCACTGTAATTAAGATACACAACCATCCTATCACCATAAAAATCTTTTACTATACCTTTATAGTTACATCTTATGATTATAAGTTGAGGGGAGTATAGTTTTGTTTTGTTTTGGGTTTCTTTTGGTACCAGGGATCAAACTTGGTACCTTGTGCTTATGAGGCAGGCAGTGGAACCAATGAGCTAAATGCCCCACCCAGGGGAGTATTATTTCAAGTTCTGAAGCACAGGAAAGGTTTAATTTTTTGAAAATAAAACATTTATTTGAAATACTTCCCATATAAATTTAATGTATCAAATTAGTGTCTCTTTTTTTTTTTCTTCTTATTGAGGTTATTGGTACAATCTAGGTATACAACACAGTTACATTCATCATTGGGATTCTGTACATTTACATAATAGGTCTTGATTCTCATTTACTTTATTTCCATTTTTTCAGTTTCTCATATTTTTTCCTCTCCCTTATTACCTTTCCCCCACCCTTCCCACTTTCCCTACACCTTTAGCCCTTTACTTCCTATTTCACATTATTAATTATCTCATTAGGATCCTGTGTACTATTATAGTTTTTCACACCAAAGAAACTATTCGGTATTTCAGTTAAAGAAATCTCTGTATGAACATTAAAAATAGGGAATCCTAAAATAAAACTAAAAAGGAAAGTAAAAGAGAAAAGGCAATGATGTAACATTAAAATAATCCTTAATTCTGGAGATGAAAATGGTCCCTGAACATATTTAAATTGCTTCTTGCTCTTATAGTCTTATTCTTTTCTTCATTATTTAGAGAATACTTTATTAGTTAAGCTGTAGATCTTAATTAGAGCCTGATTTGTAAGAAAAATAGTTCTAAAAGATGTGTTGGGAAAACAAGGCAAAGTAGAGTTAGGAATATATGTGAAACAATATTTTAGAATTACTGTTCATTTTCTTAAGTATGATGATATGGTTATACGGACTATCCATAGTTAATGAATACAGTGCTAAAATAGTTAAGGGATAGAGAAGGTTGAAGGGATGAAGGGAGGGCAGGGGTGAAGAGAGGGCAGGGGTATGGGGAAAAAAACAAGAACCAAGATATCATGTAAAGGTACAAGATCCCAATGATAAATTTAACTGTATAGTTTGTTTTAAATGTACCAATAAACTTAATGGAAAAAATAAGGGAAAAGTGTAATGTTTGTAACTTACTTTCAAATGGCTTGCCCACAACAACAAAAAACTGTCATTAAAAATTGTATTTTAAAGAGAAAGCAAATATAGTAAATTTTTAACTGATAAATAATATATGGATACTGATTATACTATTCTTTCATATTTTTGTACATTTGAACATTTCATATTGCCAACCATTTTTCCTAAACCCAAATACAATAGTTCTTCCAACTCTGCTTGGAATATAAATGTGGACAAGCAAGATCCTAATATGTTGAATGACTGACATGCTGAATGTCTACTAATTGTTTAGGATTTTGATTAATTCTTCATATAAATACTGTACTTGCACTTGGGTTTTTAAATGTTCATTTCAAATACAAGAAAACTGAATCTTAGGGAATGTAACTAATTTACATGAAATCGCAATGCTAGAAAAGACAGTGGTAAATATGTTTACTTAAAAATAGGTCAATTTCAAACAGAACAATCAGGTTCAAATGTTTAAACAAACTTGTGTAAGCATACAAAAGTACAGACACAAATTCTCAAAAACATTAACATTTCAGTTGACTAACTTCTGCATTGAACTAGGGAAATTACCTGAAATATCAGTGATGGACCTAATATAGCTAACAGACAAAAATGTTTAAGTCATGGAGACAAAGAGGGGAAAAAGAAACCTCTCCAATCCCACAGTTACAGGATCAGAAAGAAATGGCTGCATGATGTTCTCCACCATGATTCACACCAACTCAGCCACAAAGTCAAGGCTGAGGATCTGTGACAATCCTATGGTTCCATCTCCATTAATTGGATGGAAGTAATCATCTCTGGATAGAGAGAGGAGCATTTTTAGGAAAATCAGGAAAGAAAAGCTTCAACTTAAAGTCACATAAAATTAAGGAGTTACACAAAAAGCTCCCCTCTCTAATATGTGGAGATGTTCAGATTAGTATGACTGTCCAAGCCTGACTTTAATTCCTTATAACTAAATGACAGCTGGAATGGCCCCGATTGCCCACAACTATGTAACTCTTCAATCAAGGAAAGAGCACACCTGTGAAATCTGTTCCTGAAATTTCCCATCACCAGTGGACTCAATTATGCTTCTTGATTGCTAAAACCAAGATAAAGCTGCCCATGTCAAACTTTTGAGATTCAAGAACTATTTCTACTCGATGTTCTCTGCAAAGGGAATTCACCAATCAGAGGTTAAGGTAGTGGGCCCAATTCACTCCTGAATTCAGAACTCCTGGACAGGTCTGCACCAATCTTCAAGGGGGCTAGAAGGACTTGGATAACAGACTTCTCTCTAAAGCATTAAATTCCTTCTAACCTATTTCAAACTTGTATAGGTAAGATGAAAAAAGTAGTTTTAGTATGAAACTAGTGAAAGTACCTCTCAAAAAGATGGTCTTCATTGTCTTCATACACAGGACAATCCAATCTTCAACAGGCTCTTAATACATAACAGTTGGTAGGAAAACAGCAAAGAGAAGGTCCCTGACTCTTCCACTATGAGGGAAAGAGGTGGGGGCCCATAAGGGATGGAGGCAGCATGAAGGTAAGAGACTTAAGTCCTAAAACCAAATGTCCAAGCAGTAACAGCAACAGAAGCCAGGAGAAGTATCTCAGCTTATTTTCTTTCCAGATTAAAAAACAACAACAAAAAGCCATGTTCTATATGTCCAGCCAAATTACTGGGCATTTATTTGTGAGGTAGAACAACTACTCAGGGAGCTGAATGAGGGTGACAGCAGGATACACAGCTCCATTCCAGACTCTGCTCCTCTGTCAGCTATCCCTGGGAGTGAAGGCCCTGGGACAGGTCGAGGGATCAAGAGGTAGAGTATGTAAAGACTAAAGACTGATACTTTTTTAACTCTCAAGAAAATTATTTTGGAAGAACACTTGTCCAAGATGAAGATTCTCTTTATATAAAGCAATGAGAGGCATCATTTTATTCTCTAAATATTTCATGCTCTAAAAAATGCAGTCACATACCAAATCAAAGTCTGTAATCACTGGTCCTCCCACACTTGGGAAATACAGTCTCATCATGTGAACGGCCAAACACTTGAAAGACATAAAAAAAAAAAAAAAACTTTCAATTTTCCCATACTCTAACACAAACAAAAATGAATTCATTTGTCTGATCTTTTCTCAACACAAAAAAATTTTAATCTAATTAGTGAAAGTTGGAAAAGGGCATTCTTGATCATTTTATTTCCTCTCTTCTAAGAACTAAAAGGAAGTCCTGTTTTCTAACAGAATATTAAATAGCCAATGTCATCTACTTTTGATTATTGTATTTTTCTTATATTTCTGTTAAAATAAATGTAACTATTACTGAAACTATTAATGTATTCTGAGCATATGGAAATATAATTTGTTTATATATTTTATATAGTGGGAGAAAGTATTAGTCTCAAAAGAAAATATATGGCCAGAGATTTAGCTCAGTGGTTCCACTGCCTGCCTCGCAAGCTCAAGGACCCGAGTTTGATCCCTCGTACCGAAACAAAAACAAAATATAACCTGGGCAGGGGGATTTAGCCACCACCTGCCTCACAAGCACTAGGACCCAAGTTTGATCCACGGTACCAAAAAGAAACAAAGGAAAGAAAGGAAAGAAAGGAAAGAAAGGAAAGAAAGAAAAGAAAGAAAAGAAAGAAAAGAAAGAAAAGAAAGAAAAGAAAGAAAAGAAAGGAAAGAAAGGAAAGAAAGAAAAGAAAGGAAAGAAAGAAAAGAAAGGAAAGAAAGAAAAGAAAGAAAAGAAAGGAAAGAAAGGAAATAAAGGAAGAAAGAAAGAAAGAAAGGGCTGAGAATTTAGCTCAGCAGTTCCACAGCCTGCCTCGCAAGCACAAGGACCCGAGTTCGATCCCCAGTACCAAAAAAACAACAACAAAGGAAATATTATATAATGCAGCTCTTAATGATATATATGCTTAATATTTATCAAAGAGAAAATGTTTTTCTCTCTGCACTCTATGGCAATGAGTGACAGAAAAGGAAAACTACCTGCTGCTACAGCCAACATCACACCCTGGGCTCCAAGTTATAGTACACCTCTGCTAACCTTCCAAACAAGAAAATATGACAGAAAGTGTGGAAAAAAGGGAGGGTTTTGTGTGGATTAAATTCAACAACATCATCAAGTATCCAGCTGAACATCCTCAGTATAGGCATGGAACTGGATGGGCTTGAGGGACACCATGAAGCTTCCTTACACCCAGGGCCACTGGAGATTAGCATTAAAAAAGGAGCTGTCTCCTTGTATATTTAAAAAGGAAATAATTTCTCCAAGATTTGTAGTGATAAGATCCCCTTTGCTGATGGCTAGCTAACTGCACAATTCATAATTCTGTGAGCAAGGAAGAAAATGAGGATGGATTCATAATGGCACTAACAGTGTCCTTTACTCAGAGTCAAAAACTGCCATAACAATACCCACAACTACAATGGGATGGCAAACACAGAAATAAACAGGTTAATCAATCCATATCCTGGGGCCAGGGATTTGGCTCAGTGGTTCCACCCTTGCAAGAGCAAGGGCCAGAGTTCAATCCCTGAGACCAAAAATAAAAAATATATATATAGACATAATCCATCTCCCAACACAAAATATATATATTCCATTTTATGGTTTCAAATCAAAGGATGTTATTTAAAATTCATTTTCTAGAAAGGAAAAACATTTTAAAATTCTAGTAGCTATCATAGTATTTAAATCAACTACTAGAAATAGCTAAAGAGTTACTGCCTTAATGAACCTTCATATTACAAACTGTGGTTTTAAAGAACCTCCAGAATGTGAAATAATAAATGTAACCCAGATGTTGACTAAAAAAATGAAAACAAGATTGTTTTTGCTTCATAGCAACCAAATAGGTCAACCCATTTCCTCCTTCAGAAAATTCTCAGAGGACCGCAAGCTCCACTCAAAGAGCATGTGTTTCATATGTATCTGTCCACAGAAAAAGGAAATGCTGCTGTCCAAAATAAACGGGAATATTATATGTTCCCATGAAAGTGAATTAAAAAACTGCAGTTAGGCGGTGTCTCCACATTGCCAAACATCTGGATAAAAACTGGAAAGGGGAAAAAAATCATGAATTAACCAGTAATTGGGAAAAAAATTTTGAGAGTAGGAAAAATTTATTGAGGGAAAGAAAGCTTCTGTCTAAAAGAGACAGAAGGGGGACCAGAAAGTGGGTTGCCTGCTGACCCTAATTTTCAAAGATGTTTTATACAGCAAAGCCATGTGGTAAGATGGGTACAAAGTAAGACAAAACTCTAAGACCTAATGGAAAATTAAAAGGTGGGCATGAGGTGGGGCAAAACCACGACCAACCAATAAGGTTACAAGTACAGTCACAAGGGTAATATTGATTAAATGGGGGTCAAACAGGGGAGCAAGTCACATAGCAAGCATATACAAGGATTTTTCAGTAAGGGTGGGGGTCAGGGATATTTCTTAGAAAGGCTGGGTTAAGACCTTGGCCCCAGCCCAGGTGATAGAAATCTATTGGAATATCTATCACTGCTATTTATCCCCAGAGGAAGCATAGTCTCTCTCCTTTTACAATTCTGGCCTTCAGTGAATGTGTCTTGACTGTCTTCCATGTTGGCTCCTTGCTATGTTGGCTCCTTGAGGGTGGCCCTGTCTAAGGGCCTACAAGATATCTAATTAACTTACCTATCTGTAATAGTCCCCCCCTCTGACAGAAGTACCCCTAACTGCTGTGAGGGGGCAAAGGGCGAAGAGGGCTCTGGCTACTTCCAGCTGAAGAGGGTCATTGTTGTGATCAGCAGTTAGAGTTACTCTACACAGGGTCTATCTAAAGGCCTTCAGTAGGCATCTGGCATTGTCATCTTGGTAGCTACATAGCTTTTAAGTCAAAGATGTAGGATCCTTTAGGAAAGGTTCCTTGTGTCCTGGATTTTGTAGACCTTGAGAGGCCAGGGCCAAAATATTGGCTGTCCTTTCCAGTTTTGGTCTCCAAACATTCTGGAAGCTTTATCTTGAAATCCAGCAGCCACAGAGGAGCGAAGTGCCTTGAATTAACTACTATTGAGAACTGCATAACTTCTCAGGGGCAGGGCAGTGGAGAAGAACAAAAGAGTGCCTTTAAATATGGCACAAGAACTAAATCTTAACCATCTCATGTGTAGAAAGACATTTAAGATCAGGAGCTTTTTCATGGTGGATCTGCAGTCCTTAGCAAAACATACTTCCAGAGACAAAAGCTATGATTGACTCCACTTGCATGGCCAAGCATAAAATCAAACCAATAATCAAAGAACCTGAATGGATACTTTTTTTGCCTCTTGAAAGAGAATGATTCTAACTATATTGTTTAGGGCTTTTCTTTTTAAATAAATTATTTTGACTCTATAATATTTAATTTATGACTTAAATATCCTACAGGCTATTGAGCAGCTCTCTGATCTTAAAGAAACATTCCCAAAGCCATGTCTTACCTTTTATTAACATACAAACTGAAATGGTGTCCTGTAGGCAGGCACTTAGAAGTGCTTGTTTGAGCTTCTGGAATGTGGTCTGGGAACAGGTTCCCAGGTTAAAATATGGCTGTCTTTTGGGTTTTTCTATAGGCTGACAGATGAGTCACACAATCTCACTATATCTTATAGGGGCAACAAAAGAAAGTAATTTCTAGAAATCTCCTTAGCTGTTTCAGAGTCTTGGGCTGTGGAAAGAAAAGAATTGGTTTCTTTCTTCTCCCAGTATTTGGGTTCCCTTAGATATAATGAAGCCTAAGTATTTTACCTTAAGGCTGCAAAGTTGTGTCTTAGACCTAGAAACATAATCACTGTCTGTTAGAAAATTCAGCAGAACACAGATGTCTTGGCTCTTCTGAGGGGGCATATAACCCTCTAACAGCTACATATTGCAAGGCTGACTTGAGAAAAACTATAGTATTTCCTTTTATCATATCAGGATCTAGAGATGTCTTCATTACTTTCTGATAAAAACTTGACAATTTAAAATAACTGAAGGGTTTAGTTCTCATTTCCTAGACCTTTAAGAATACGTGCCTGAAAATGTCTTCTACTTTAATCTATCTGACTGGCAAGCCAGTAGGGTCTTCTTAGGAACTGCTTGTGTTCCAGTAGAAACCAGTTATTCCCTTGGCTGCCTGTCTTTTGAGCTATCAAAATTAAGATAATACCTGTCTCTAAATGTAATACTATTGGTGTCTCATTAAAAACCAATATTTAAAGCCGGGTGTGGTGGCGCATGCCTGTAATCCCCACACTCGGGAGACTGAGGTAGGAGGATAGCTGTGAGTTCAAGACCAGCCTGGACTACATAGTGAGTTTCAGGTCAGTCTCAACTACATAGTGAGACACTGTCACAAAAAAACCAACCAAACAAACAAAAACCAATATTTAAGAGCAACATTACATCTTTCTAATCTGGTCTATAGGTCTGGGTAAGTTCTTTAAAGACCTCAAAGTACATATCAGTGTCATCCAAAAGCTTTATTAGGTTTTATTTAATCTGTCTTAGATCACTGAGAAAAAGACACATGAACACAAATAGTCCCATATTTGCCATTTACTTCCTGCAAGGGATGCTGTCTTTGAGGGACCTGAACAATTTAGCTAAGGATGGATATAGCCTCATGGAGGTTTTAATTATGGCTGGCCTAGATACTCCATCCTCAGCACCTGGTGGTCAAGGTTTAAAGCTGTCATAGAAACTTTGTTCTCAGGTTCAAAAGGGTAAGGAGTGGCCTCCGGCTTAGAGCTACTGAATGTCTTAAGGGTGAGGTGTCTCATTACATTTACATTTGAACACAAGCAAGAATTACTTCTTAATGTAAAGAAAATTTCAACATGATTTTGACCATTTTCTCTCTTTTACAGTATAATTCTAATTGTGAGACAGCATCATAGTACTTTCCTCTGTGTACTTGGCTTTAGGAGGTAGGCACATCACACAATGGTGTAGAAAAATACTAACTTGCTCCATGATACACCAAAGGAGTGTGA